CAAATTATTTCATGAGATATATCAGGCCCTTCACCATCTAACCCAGGTGTCACAAACCTACTGGCTATATCTGGTCAACATGTATGTTTTATTTGAACTATACAGTCTTTTAAATTTGACTTAATCACCAACACTTAAAAGGAGGTATTATGTACCAAGTATAATGGGTTTACGCCTGTAATCCCAGCACTTTGGGAGGCTGAGGCAGTAGAATCGCTTGACGTCAGGGGTTCAAGACCAACCTTGGCAACATAGTGAGACCCTGTCACTACAAAAATTAAAAATATTTAGCTAGGCGTGGTGGCACCAGCCTATAGTCCCAGCTACTCCAGAGGCTGAGGTGGGAGGATCACTTGAACCCAGGAGTTTGAAGCTGCAGTGAGGGATGATCACACCACTACACTCCAGCCTGGGCCACAGAACAAGACCATGTCTCTAAAAAGAAAAGAAAAGAAAAAAGAGTTACTATGGATAAAACATTTGGATATTTCCTTCTGGTAAAAAATCAGACATGTGGCAAAATTGGGCCTACATTTTCAGACAGCAACAGTCACTGAAGCCCATTCGATGATGCTGCCTTTAGATGGGGCATGCCTTTTTCTGTTTGCCACAAGTCACACCACCATTACTAAGTCACTGAGACAAAGTATTGATTGCCATCCTATGTCCAAACCACTCTGAGTCACTAAACACCTCTTCGATCTTCTCTCTGAATCCTACCAGTTCTTCCGAGCCACATTTCATCAATTCCAGTTTCTAGAAAAATAACCTCATTTTTTTCACCTGTGCCTTTATAGATTTATTTTCTTTGCAAGTCTTTCTCTAAAGCTCACTCATTCTTTACAAATTCAGTTGAGATCAGAACTGGAAAAGGTTGAGACAAGTAAGGCACTCAGGCTGCAAACTTTAAAGAGGCCACATTCACTCTCAGGTGCTAACATGCACTTGCATGACCCTGAGAGTAAGTGCCTCCTTAAATCTGAGCTCCAAGCACCTGACTTACCTCATTCTAACCAGATATCAATTCAGGGCTCTGGGGCTAGTGGTATGAAAGCTTCCAAGACAAACTCCTGAAACCATAAATACCTGAACAAAGAGTGTGTTGCTGGAGTCTGTAGACTAGAAACATTAGGCAGCTGTGCTACTTCTCCTACTTAGCACACAGGGACATTTGGCAGTTGGGACTGTATCTTACTTCTCTGTTTCTGGCTTTGTTTTCTTTATCGTCTTCTCACCTCACCCACTTGTGATTTAGTGCTACCTTCTTCAAATTTCAATCTTCTAGGGCACTGCCATTCTTTCTTTACTTCAGATATTCCTGTCCGAGTATACCTCCCTATAAGGAGTTCTGTGAAAGCCTCTACCCCAGTTTTATACATTAATGTGTGAGTATGTGCTTATGTTTGTTTTCTTGGAGAGAGAGAGAGAGAGAGAGAGAGAGAGTCCATAGTGCTCAATCAACTCCCAAAGTTTACAATCTACCAGGCTTATGTGGAACCAGTATTGGCCCTTTGCACTATGATAATGCATGGAATCATTTTTGAACGTGACCTGATAAGTACCCCCTCTGAATATCTTATCAGGGCCTATTTCTTTAGTTTCTAGTTCTTTTTCTTTTTTCATTTTTAAATTTTTTTTTTATTTTAAAGATATGGGGGGTTTCTAGCTCTTGATGTATCACTACCTACAACTCTTACTGTGCCATTTGAAGAGAACAGATCATGAGGCCCATCAACATAAGGATTTATTTATACCTGGGGTTTAGTAATTAGGCTCATACTGACATTTATCCATTATTTACTTGGTCTTTGCTTTGAGTCAAAACCCAGCTAAGCATTTTCCCTACATCCTACTGACTTCCTTATTTTGGTTCATTGCATTCCTAGCCTGCCAGTCAACCAGACTTGTAACCTCAAAGACAACCTTTTTTTCCCCTTCCTTCCCACCTTCTTCTCTCCCTCTCTCCCTCCCTTCTCTTCTTTCTTCCTGTCTCTCTCCTCTCCTCCCTGCACCCACCCACCCCCACCATTCACCTTCTCCAGTCTTCCCTTCACCTGTCCAAGGGCAGGACTCTAATCTGATTGTGAGTCAGAAGACTCTCATTCCACAGAAGCTCTTGCCCCATACTCTGGAGAAAGGAATGCTGCACAAAGAGGGCAAGAAGAACCTGAAGAGACAGGCCTTGTTAGGTTTCCCCACTGTCTATTAGTACGAAATCATACCCTTTGTGCCCAATCACATTTCTACATGGTTGTCAATCATACCCATGTAATGAAGCCATCATAAAAACCCAAAAGGACAGAGTTTGGAAAGCTTCTGGACAACTGAACACATGGAGGTTCCTGGAAGGTGGCACATGTGGAGAGGGCATAGAAGCTACCTGCCCTTTCCCCCATACCTAGCCCTATTAATCTCCTAATCTATATCCTTTATACCATCCTTTATAATAAACCAGTAAACTTAAGTGTTTTCCTGAGTTCTGTGAACCACTCTAGCAAACTGATCAAACCCAAAGCACGGGGGTCATGGAATCACCAACTTGAAACTGGTAGGTCAGAAGTTCTGGAGGACCGGACTTGCAACTGGTACCTGGGGAGTAGGGACAACTTCATGGGACTGAGGTCTCAACCTGTGGGATCTAACACTATCTCCAAGTAAATAGTTTTGTAATTAAATTAGAGGATATCCAACTGGTATCCACTATTTGACGTGTGGGGGAAACTCCCCACATTTGGTCATAGAAGTCTTATTCTATGTTGATGACTGTTTGTGGTAGTATGAGAGCAGAGAGAAACACCCTGTTTGAGAGACTTTTTTCTAAAATATTGGCTTTGGGATAAGTGGGTACCAGTTAAACGTCAGATCCTTTAGCAGAAAAAGGAGCCAATTATGGAATTTCATGTACCATGTATCTCCCACTCTTCAAAGTCACCAACTGACAGGCAAGTAGCAATTGTTTTAAGAAAGAAATACAAAGAAATCAAATCTTTTTTTTTTTTTTGAGTTGGAGTCTCACTGTCGCTCAGACTGGAGTGCAGTGGCCACTGCC